GACTTATAACTTGGTCTCAGTTGTACAGGTCTTATGCTCTACCCTAGCTTTCCTTCTGTAGTTTAGGATTATAATTTAATGAACTCTTTTTCTGTCCTAGAACTAAAAGTGATTATACCATAGTTATAATAAAAAGAAAATGTCCTTAAATCATGGGAAACACTTTTCACAGAAAAAAAGGAAAAGACATTCTGAAACTCTTGTTTGTAGGTATCAAATTCTTATCCTCCAGGCCAGGGTAACACATTTGCATATAAACCACAGCACTGAGTCAGATTTTGAAGTTTTCTCATTGTACAATGAAACCTGTCATAGAAATGAGAGTCTGAGAGAATAAAGGAAGCCTGGCTGGCCACTTACTCCAACAGATGTGCTCAAGGGCAGTACCTCTACTAACTCTCATATTCGAATTAGGATGTAAAGAGCAGTCCAATTAATACTATATGAAGTCATGACAGACTGATGTATAAGCCAGAATAGTGATATATTTTAAATAAAAATATAAATACAAAGTAGCATGGGTCTCATGTTCTCTTCCTGTTGTACAGGTATACAGGAAGCTAAGGTACAATCTGAAACTGGCTTGCTCAGCCTCAGATCAGAGCAAGGGGAAGTCAGATGGGTTATTATGATGGCTGAAGGTATGATTACCTTCACAATCATGCAATGTGGGTTGAATTCTTTATTTTGCTTTTTAAATTAAAAAATGAAGCACGTGTCTTTCAGTTTTAAGTTTCTTAAAATGGTAAGGTTAAAAAAAAGAAATAAAAGTGTCTGCCTTTTCTGACTAAGAACGCTGGATTAGTTGGTAGCTGCTCCCCATCAGTTTGGGATCTAAAATGGATATAACTGACTTAGCAAAGGCAAGCAGGAGAGGCCATGAGCAGCGAGCACACAGGACTCTCTTCAGATAGGTAGAGATACAGGCAGGTGGGCTGATCCCTCTGGAATCAAGCAGGAGACAGTCATAGAGTTAGTTGTTTGCTACCTATTCCCAAGATCATTAACTACCTGGCACTATAGAGGTGGGAGGCCCTTTGAAGACCTAGTTCAGCTTCTCTCTTGTGCAGAATGACTTTCTCAAAGACAAAACACACTATTGTGGTCCCACTGGGGCTACAATGCAATTCAATGCTTTGATATTACACCACACTGCTTCTTATCTAATTCCTTCCAGGATCTCAAATGAGATTTTGAAGAGGAGAGGCCAGTAGAGAATGGAGAGTACGGTCCACATGGCTCAGTATCTTTGCCTAATAGTTGACTCCACTAGATCTCCACTGTCTGTCCTTCTAGACTCATGTATCAACAGAGCCAAGTCATTTAAGTCCTCTGAGCTCCAGTTTTCTGTAAATAAAATATATCTGAAAATGATTAATCCTAGTTCAGAGTGACCAGGAAGATAAACTGAAACAATGTATATAAAGAACATTAAATGACCAGCTTGGTGCCAGTGGCTGAAGACTGAGATGGGGAGGATTATGGTTTAAGGTCAGCCCAGGAAAAGAGTTCGATAGATCCATCTCAAAAATAACCAGAGCAAAATAGACTGGAGTTGTAGCTCAAGCAGTAGAGTGCCTATTTTGCAAGTATGAAGACCTGAGTTCAAACCCCAGTCCCACCAAAATAAATAAGTAAATAAAAAAGAACATTAAATGAATATCGCTATTTTCCCTACTTACCATGAACAAGAAATATTCAAATCTTACTTTGAATTTTTAAACACTTGCACACTAATGAGCAGAAGGTAGAAAGGATGAAGGGGATAGTATAACCAAAAAGAGAACAGGCTTACATACAGAGAATATTTTGTTTTGTGAAATGAATTGTGCAATCACATTCTTTCCACATTGTATCACTTACTTTTCAGCCAGGACATGGCTAAACCTCTGCTACTGCAGGAAGCTCCACTGTGGAACCTACTGAGGTAGGACGACAGGGAACAGAGTGTGTTTGGAGGGGATGATGGAATGATAAATGCTGGAATGATAACCAAAGGACCTGTCTGGAAATGCCACATGAAAGGTCTCTCTCTGCCTTCCTTTTGGCCATCTTCTGTTTCAGGTCTAAGGTCTTACAAGAGACACAAAAGAGAAGACAGCACACTCCCCTGGAAGAATCATTCACACAGCAAGTCATGTTTCTTATCAGCCCGGGTACAGAAAAAATCTGGGCTCAGACTCCCACCTCTTCTGGCTCTGAAGAGCTGCCTAACTGCTCTGGGTTTTCCAGCAAAATAACAGAATTTTTTAGGCAAGAAGGTAAGAAAATCAGCCTATTTTTGAATAAAGTCTCAAACATCAATTATCCTGTTTAAGCCTCAAGTAAACAAAAATGATTCCACTACCAGTTCTGAGGCACCTCTCATTGCTTCCCAGAGCCATTATCTCATGTGCAAAGGGATAGCAATGGATTTCTCATATTGACTCCAGGGTACGTGTTTCTTGCAGCATATAGAGAAGTGGCATTTTCCTGAGCCAAGAATCATGTTTCTCCCTTCCCCTGCCTCAAGTTCCCTCCATCTCAGATCCACTATTCTAATCCAAGCCACCCTCATGTCCTCCTCATCCATAATTTCCACTGTGCAACCTGTTCTCCATAGAGCAGCCCAAATGATTTTCAAGGCAATAGCTTTATTGACATATAATTCTATATCATAAAACTCATACTTACAATTCATTATTTTTTCTTATATCACAGACTTGTGCAAAAATCACCCCAATCTAATATTATGTTTTAATTATCATGCCCTTTACCAGTCATGTTCCATTTCTCCTTCTGCCCAGATCCTGAGAACCACTAATCTACTTCTATCTCTGTGTATCTGCCTATTCTTGACATTCTGCGTGAATGTAATAATGCAATGCATGGTCTTTCATAACTGGCTTTTTTAGACTAATCAAGATTTTTATGGTTTATTTATGCTGCAGCATTACCAGTAATTCATTCCTTTTCATTGCCAAATAATATTTTATCATATAGCTATTCCACATTTTATTTATCTACTATCCATTGGCTGATGAACATTTGGGTTGTTTCCACTTTGGGGTTATTATGAATAGTGTTGTCAAGAACATTTATGATGTATTTTTTGTGTGGACATGGTTTCTGTTTTCTTGGGACTATACCTATGGAGTTGCTGGGTCACACAGTAACTATACTCAACATCTCGAGTGACTTCTAATCTGTTTTCAAATGTGGCTGCCCCATTTTACAACTCACCAATCATGTATGAGGGTTCTAATTTTTCCACATCCTCCACAGTATTTGTTATTGTCTATCTTTTGATTATAGCCATACCAGTGGGTATGAAGTGTAGATTTTGATTTAAACTTCCCTGATGATAAATGATGCTGAGCATCTTTTCAAATGGTTATTGGCCATTTGTATTTATTCTCTAGAGAAACGTCTATTCAAATCCTTTGCCTATGTTAAAATTGGGTTATTTATCTTTTCATTGCTGAATTATGTGTTCTTTTATATTCTGGATACAAGTCCAAGTGATTTTCAAAAAGTAAGTCAACAGGTCTTGTTACTTCCTTGCTTATTACCCTCTAGTGGTTTCCTAACAAGTTTAGAATAAAGTACAAAATTCTCAGTCTGGTTTAACAAAGCCCTGCATGATTTTTGGCCCCTGCCTGCTTTTCCAGCCTCAGCTTGTACTATCTTCCTGCTTGGTCTGTGCACTCTGGTAAGAACAGTCTGCTCCCTGCACTGAAATTCAGGCGCTCACTGGTGTCTCAGCACCATGGTGTTCACTGTCCCATCTGCATGCTCGCATTCTCTTTCCCTGGATGGCTCCTTCTCATTACTCAGCTCTCAATTTGGATAGCAGTTTTTCAGACAAGTTTTTCCTCAAAGAAACTCTATCTAAAGGAGTTCCCCTTCCACAAAGAAAACTTTTTGGGATGACAGATATGTTCATTTTATTTATTGTGGTAATGGTTTCATGGATGTATATTTATGTCAAAACATTTCAAATTATAATTTTAAACATGTGCCATTTATTTTATGACAATAACACATTAATAAAGCTATTAAATAAAAGCTCCCCTTACAACCACAATTTCTTATCAGACTTTATTTCCTTGGGAGAAATTATCTATCTAAAATGACCTTATTTCTTTTTTCCTTTCTTTTTTTAGTGCTGGGGATTAAACTCAGAGCGTCTCTCACACTGAGCTATAACCCCTGAAATGACCTTAACTTACCGATGTAAATGTGTACTTTCTGTCTCACCCCAGTAGAACAGAAGTACCACAAGGGCAGAATATTGTTCATCTTGATCACTGCTGTGTCTTCAGCTTCACTTACAATTAGGTGTTCAATAAATACTTGGCTAATTGAATGAATGAATTCTACAGAAGTTTAGAAAAGAGGCTCTGAGACAATAGAAAGAGCAACTTTCCGCTCCTTCAAATTCACCAGAACTTTTAGACTTAAGAGGATGGGATTATTATTATTTTCATTTCTAAGAGCAGTTAACATAAAATATATCCCGGATCGTCTCCACTATCATCAGCATCAAAAGTGATGTTCATGGTTCACCTAGTCCCTGGCACTACTGTAGTAGATATATACTCTCCATTTGGTAGTGGTTAATTTTATAGTAATAGTATTATAATGGTAATGTAGTATATTATAATAGCGTACCATAATATATATGTACAGTAATGATCATACACGTAACATATAACTATAGAAACAGCAATAGTAATACAATAAAAATTGTTTCAGCACTTGCTATTTGCCAGATGTTAAGCATTTTGCTTATGTAATCTCATTTATTCCTGATAATAACTTTATGAAGGAAATGTTCTTTTACAGATGTGTAAGTAGAGGTGTAGACAGGTGAATTAACTGCTCACTATCACACAGCTGGTAAAAGGCAAAGCTTGAGCTCAAACCCATGATTGCCTTACTTCAAAGCCCAGGCTTTTTCCATTCTGTTACAGCACTTCTAAAGTTTTCTCACAAAACAGCGTTACTATTCCAGCTTATTACACAGCTCTTCAAGGAAGATATTTACCTTGAGAACGGATACTATTCAAACTTTGAAATGGGTTAGGAGCCTAAGGTAAGGCATGCAAGAAGCTGGCTGCTTGAGAATAAATCAGGATATTTAGAGCACGAGTTTTTTTTTTTTTTTTACTTTATCCCACATTCCTTGTCTAGCGGCTTCATTTGATGCTTAATTCTGTACTGTTAATGATTTTTCTCTGGGAGGTCTTGGTTTATACCTAAGCTGTTGGCCCTTGTTCCTACCCTGTCTATTAGTGAAGTTTGGTATTGAACCTAGGCTGGCCATGATGGACCTGGGTGATCTCCCTCATTGTCTGGGTATGGTTTCAAGAGCCTGTGGGTGGGCCTTTACCTTTGGTGCCAGGTGGCTGCAGGTTGTCTCCAGTCAAAGAACACCAGCCCACAGGAAAGATGTCCCGGGAGTCGAAGCGGCACCAGTAGTCAAAGGCCCCTCGCCACCCATCAAAAGTGACAAGCACCTCTGAGCCCCGAACCTCCCCAATAGTGGCTGGGCAAATGAAATGAGGGTTCTTCCTGTCCACAGCTTCTAGCTTCATTCCCATTTTGAAGAAATTGTGGGAAGGCGATGGTGGCTCCTAAATGAGAAACAGAAATATCCAGATCTAGACACAAAGAGAGAGACTGTATATGCCAGCAGACTGCTGTCTCCTTTGGATGAGAAAAAAGTGACTGCTCTACAAGAGTTATTCAATTTCCCTTTGTGCCCTTCTCCTGTCCCATTCTATTCCTACCCATCACAGAGGTAACAATTATTCATTCATGTTTTTATGTTGCTATATATGTATGTGCCATCTGCAGGCTTTTGAATTTTATATAAATGGTATTGTACTATTCACATCATTCTACAATTTACTTTTTTGTTCAATGTTACATTTTTGAAATTTGCCCATGTTGATAAATTTAACCCCAGTTTATTTTAACTAATAGTATTCTACTATAGGTGTGTATCACAATCTATTCTTTCTCTTTTTATGGATAATTAAGCTATGTTTCTAATTGTTTACTATTTCAAAAGAGATTAACAACCATTCTTGCACTGTTCCTTGTGTGTGTGTGTGTGTGTGTGTGTGTGTGTGTGTGTATGAAGATTTCTTTAGAATATACATCTAGGAGTAGAATCACTGGGTTATAGTTATCTTTCTCCTTCATTTTTCACATGAAATTTATTTAATCAGTTTTTAAAGTTCCACAGAAAAACCCAATTAGGATTTTGAGTAGAATGGCAATGAATTATATATTAATTTGGGAAGAAATAACCTTTGTTATGTATGATATTAAGTCTTCTCATCTGTGAACATGACAGTCTTTTTCCATTAAAGTTTTCTTTGATGCAGATTTCTCCTTTAATATAGATTTTTAAATCTTCTCTACAAATACCTTATGCTTCATCATTAACATTTTTTCTAGGAATATTATAATTCTATTGTTATCATAAATAGTACTTAAATTTTTATTTTCAAACTATTTGTTGTTATTAAGTAGGAATAAGCTGATTTAAAAAATAATCCACTAATTTCATAGTGATTGGTATAACAATCAGTATATAAACATCTGCTTAATTTACCAGTTATTGAGAGATATGCGTTAAAATATTCCCTACAGATTGAGGATTTTTCAGTTTTTCTATGTAAACGCCAAATTTTGCTTTATACTTTGAGGCTGTTTTAGGGGGCATATACACTTAAATGCCTCTATATGCTTTATGCTCTTGCTGAACTGTACTTTTTATTATTAGGTAGTGCTAATGCTTTTAAAATATCTTCCTTCCTTCCTCCCTCCCTCCCTTCCTATACTTGGGATTGAACCCAGGACCTCAGGCATGCTAGGTAAGCACTTTACCATTTCAGCCATAGTTTGAGCCCTTTAGTTGTATTTTTTTTAGGGGCTTGCTAACTTTTCTGTGGCTGGCCTTGTATTCCTCCTGCCTCTGCTTCCCAAGTAGCTGGGATTGCAAGCATGTGCCACCACACCTGGTGCTTTTTATTTTTTTCTTTCAATACTGGGGACTGAACCCAGGGTCACGCCTGGTTTACATATAGCTTCTACCAGCTTTACTTTGATAAAAGTTTGCCTGGTATACCTTTTATATTCTCTTATTTTCAGTATTTTTATGTTATTATGTTTAAGCAACATCTATTGTAAATAGCACAATGATAGATTAAAAAAATCAAACTGACTTAAACTGACAAGTTTAAGCTTATTTCTCATTATAACTGAAGTATTAGAATTTTTTATTCTTTTTTAAGTTTTTGAGATGGGGTCTCCCTATGTTGCCCAGGCTGACCTTAAACTCTTGGGTTCAAGTGATCCTCCCATCTTAGTCTCCTGGTAGCTGGGACTACAGGCATGAACCACAATGCCCAGCTGAATTTATTACAGCTATCTTATTGTCTATTTCTGTTTAACTTGATTTTCAAGGTTCTTTTACTCCTTTTTAATCAACTAAGTTTTCTTCCCTTTTCCCTTCCTTCAATGATTCAGAAGTTAAAACATTCTATATATAATCTTTTGGTGGGTCCCTGTAAGATTTTAACATACAAAGTCTAAAACTCATCTTTATTTCTAGTCCTAAACAATACAAGAACTTTAGAATATTTTAACTACTCCTAGGTTATAGTAGCATTTGGGATATTTTCTAGTGAAAGAGTTTTCAAGTTCCCTAGTACACAATATTTTGGGAGCCAGAATGCTCTTTTTCTCTCTAGAGGCACAGGCAAGCCTCATTCAGTCCCTTTATGGTACCTCTTACCCCACTGGAGAAGTCAGTTAATAGCAGACTGATAGGCCTTCTTGAAAGAGGAAGAACAAATACAGGTTTTAGATCCCTTACTAGCCATGTGATCTTGAGCAAGTTCATTATTCAGAAGTATGTTTCCTTAACTATTAAATGGAACTAGTAATTCTCAGTTCATAGTTAGCTATGACATTAAATGAGAAAATATATACAAAGCCACAGACATATTGTAAATACTCCAAAAACAGTCTCCTTCCATTCTGCTTATAACATATACTCTACAGAACTCTCTAAGAATCATTCCTTTAGATTTGTATTACATTTTATAGTTTTACTAATAAACACATTTTCATTTCTTAACAACCTCATAAGGTAGACAGAATTCTACTTTATAGATATGGTCAAAAGGTTCTTGTTACTGGTTTAGCTTAGAGCTGGTGATATCTGAGGGATAGTGTACCTTGTGGAAAATCCTGATGGGAGCCATCTCTGCTCCATTTAGTGTCTTCAAAAGGAACATAGGCCAAGAGGAGGCATTCAGCCGAAATCCTGCAGCAAACATAATGGAGAACGAATTAAAAAATGTTTCAAAAGGTGCTGTCCAGTTCTCCCTTTGGAATCCAAATACTCCTGTCACAACATGTGCTGTGATAGTCATAGAATCACAAACTCTGAAGTCTGTGATTAAAGGTTAGGTTAAAAAAAATGCCCCATTGGACAGATGAGGAAAAGGAGGAACATTGAAGAGAATGTAACTTGTCCAAGGTAATGCTGAAAATAAGTAGTGTAATAGGATCTCTGAATCAAGTTCCTGACTCCAAGACAAATATCACAGAATAGATATCATAACATTTAGAACACGTTCCTTGACAAATCCAAAAAAGATGTGAGACAGAATGAACAGACAGAATGAACAAACAGAAATGATCTACACAGTAGAGTATAAAAGGGGAATCTAACAGTGTCTTAAGAAGAAACCAAACATGTCAGCTAAGAAGCCCAATACACAGGTAAATAAGTTTGGTTTACCTTAAAAAAAACTAACACATTTTTTTCTCTTTTTGTCATTCTCATATGTGTACATATGCATATACATACCAAGTACACAATACTTGTTGATATTCCTTGTTTACTTAAACAACTAAGGATCAGGTAATAATGAAATTATAGGAGGTCATTCTACCCAAATTTCTTAATTTTCCAAAACAGTAAAAAAAAACAGCCTAGAAAGGTAAATTGTCCATTGTTATCCACCAAGTAAAAATTAGTAAGAACATACCATTTACTTAATGAACTGTAAAACTAGGAGCAATGGTATACTTTGGTCTTCTAATTCAAGCTCCCAGTGCTTCTTTCAATTTGGCTTCAACTCTCCATCCTGAGATAAACCTAAATATAATGTTTTAATAGCCTCCCAACCTGTCTCAGTGTTCTCATCATATTCAAAAGAATAGAGAGGCTGCACCAAAGCTGTAGAGTTGGAAATAACAAGAGCATCTGCTGTTCTTGAATAGTTTACTGTGTGCTAGGTCCTGTGCCAATCACTTTCCATTGACTCTCTAGTCTAATCCTCTAGATAGCCTTGAGAGATGGATATTATCTTCATTTTATTAGAGGGTAAAATGGGCAAAAGTTAAGTAAACTGCTTTAAGATTTCAAAATGTACAAATGACACAGACAGGGCTGAAACCCAAGTAATGTGAGTCCTGAGGTCATACTCTTATCCATCAAGCTCAAGATACAGGTAAAAATGAAAAACAAAGAATCAGCCTTTTGGACTAAGTATTAATAACCATAGTTAAATTCAGGGGGAGGAGAAGAAAAAATGAAAGTAAAAAAGAATTACACCTTCATATAATTTAAGCTTTAGTCTCCTTTAATCTAAAACAATCCTATTTCCTTTTGTTTACTTTTCATGACACTGACATTTTTTTGAGTCTGGGATAGTGGTTTTATAGCATATCTCATGATTTGTATTTTTTTGGTTGTTTCCTTATGATTCATGCTTAAGAGTTTTGACAAAAATACTTCAAATGTGATGTTGAGTACTTCTCATTCTATTACTTCAACAGGCACAAAATTACCCAGGCATTGCCTGTAATCCCAGCTACTCAGGAGGCTGATGTGAGAGGAACACATGAGTGCGTGAGTTTGAGAATAGCCTGGCTAACATAGGGAGATCATGTCTCAAACAAAACACGCAAATAAAACAATCAAGCAAAAAAAGAGGTATAAAAGTTTTAGTTTGTCTAATTACTATGATACTAAATTTGTAAAGGGGTGACACACAGACTTCTTCATTGTAATTTCCCTTTGTAAATAAACAGGTAATTAAAAGAGAAACTCTGAGGTGGTGTTACTATCCTACCCCTAAGTATGTTTTACTCAATGCTTTTAACATTCATGTGTTACTCTTGCCTGAACTGAATATTAAAATAGTTGCGAAATAGTGATTTTCCCTCTATTTATTAGCTGGCATTCTGTAAGAGAGACTTCTCTTTCTAACTTAAATTGCTTTCTCATTGTATATGGCAAGGACCAATGGATGCTATAACTATCATCTTTTTACTTTTATTAATTTTGCTGATAATCATATTGCTGATACTGACTAGCCCTGTGTCCTTTGGTACATTTCTATCATTCTTTAAGATTTCTTTGTTGGCATAATAAGGTGCTATTTTAGATTCACCTTATGTTTTTTCTTCTGCTTGGCCTTGCAATCAGTCATTTCTCTAAGGGATATGATTCTTTTTACTGAGGGATGAGATTTAGAAATCAAAATCAAGGGTCAGGTGTGGTAATGCAGGCCTGTAATCCCATTTACCCAGGAGGTGAAGGTAGGAGGATCATGATTCAAGGCTAACTTTGGCAAAGTTAGCATGAGACCCTATCTGAAAAACAAACTAAAAGCAAAGGACTAGCAGTGTGGCTCAAGCAGTAGAACGCTTACCTTACAAGCATGAGGCCCTGAGTTCAATCCCCAGTACAGAAAAAAACCCAAAATTAAGGTGTGTACTTCACTACTGAGTTATAATTGCGTTTAGGCCTTTTCAATGGACATAGCTTGGGAAATACATACACACATATATCTACATACTATATTACATGCACACGATGCATATATCAATATATTTTAAAGTCAAGAGTTCATACAAATACTCTACAATTCAAATTCAATACTGTAGGGTTCCTCCTCATCTTTCCCCATTCCATTATTTGTATCTTATTTACCCATTTGCTCTATTTCCAATACATGCAAAATGATTTCAGATTATTATGTCTAAATTGCTAATATTGTTTTTAAAAAGTCAGAATTTACAGCTTCTTTTTCCTTAGAATATATCCCATTATGGGCACAATTTGAATATTTATTTGAATATTTTTTATTTGAATAAAATATTTTATTACTTGAATATTTTTTTCAATCTGGTTATGACATTCATTGATACATAGTTCAATCTGTAACAAATTTTAGGTTTGTTTGTTCATTTTTTGGCTTAATTTTATTAGGTAAAACATTTATATAATTCAAAAGTCAAAAGAATATAAAGGAATATTCTCAAAAAGTGTCTCTCATCACTGTACTTTCTGTCCTAATCCCAGATAAACCCAATAGATGGCCTTTCATTATTTTCTGGTTTAACACTCCTGTTCCTTTGTACAAAAAAGTAAAAATAATTTCATGTTTATTAATATATGTGTATATTCATATATAAACACATTTCCCCTTCTTCTTCTTAGAAGGTAGCATATCATATACACTCCTTTGCAACTTTCTTTTTTGGGGGAAGAACTGGAATTTGAACTCAGGGTCTCACACTTGCTAGGGAAATGCTCTACCACTTGAGCCATGTCTCTAGCCTTTTTTACTTGTTGGTTATTTTTCAGGTAGGGTCTGTTTTTTTGCCTGGAGCTGCCTCAGACCTTGATCTTGCAGTGTCCCATGAAGCTGGGTGCATGCCACTACATCTGGCTTGTTTTGTTGAGATGAGGTCTTGCTAACTTTTTGCCTGGACTGGCCTTCAGTAGCTGAGATTCCAGGCATGAGCCACTGAGTCCCACTGAAATTTCCAGTTATTCACATCAACAATGTATGTTGGAAATGATGCCATGTCAGTTTATGGAGATATTCTTTATCCTAGATTCTGGTTACATGGTATTTCATTGTGTGAATGTACTGTATTACATTCAACCAACCTCTTAATGATGCTGCAAACAACCACTATTTGCGTTTTGTGGAAGGATCTCTTCATAATCTTAGAGTAGGATTGCCTACTCTAAGAATTCGGGTCAAATGTTAAATGCACTCAGATACTAGCAAATTGTATATCCCTGTCCACAATAAGGATTGCACCACTCTGTGTGTCCCCAGCAACAAAAGAGGATTTGTTTCCCCAAAGTCTTGTGTCCTCAACTGTCTGAATTTTTGTCAGTCTGGTAAGGAAGAATATCTCCGTGTAGTTCAATCTGCACTTACTCTATTATGAGTGAAGGTAAGCATATTTTCATAGGTTTGAGGACTATTTATTTGTATACCTCCTCTGGACTGTCTGTTCATCTTTTAAGTCCATTTTCATATTGGTCTTAGTCTTTTAAAAAAGTTTTAATTTATGACTTTTTTGTGGTACTGGGGTTTGAACTCAGGACCTCACACTTAGTAAGCAAGCACTCTACCACTTGACTCATATCCCATAGTCATTTTTGCTTTAGTTATTTTTCAGGTAGTCTTATGTTTTTTAGCCAGGGCAGCCTGGACCACAATCTTCCTACCTATGCCTCCTAGTAGTTGGAGTTATAGGTGTGGATCACCACACTTGGTTTGTTTGTTGAGATATGATTTCACTAATATTTTGTGAGCCTGGCCTGGAACCTCAATCCTCCTACCTTTACCTCCTGCGTAGCTGGAATTATAGGTGTGTGCCACCATACCTGGTCCAAATTTATGACTTTTAAAAAAATTAATTAGCCTTTTATCTGTCACATATGTTGTAAATGTTTTCCCCAATTTTAACTTTGCATGGAGTATTTTTTCCCTAAAAAGGTTTTATTTTTAACATTTATATAGTCAAATTTACCAGTTTATCTGGATTGAGTCATATTCAGAAAGGTTTTCTCTATTCAGGTTTATAAAGAAGTTTCTGTTTTTTCCAGTGCTGCTGCTGCTTCTTTTTGTTTCTGTGTAGTACTGGGGTTTGAACTCAGTCTTAAACTTGCTGGGCAGGCACTCTACTACCTGAGCCATGCCCCCAGTCCTTTTTGCTTTTATTATATTTCAGATTGAGTCTTGGACTTCTGTCCTCAAACCACAATTCTCCCATCTCTACTTTCCAGACATCTGGCATGAACCAACATGCTTGGCTCCACTACTTCTAAGATTTTATTTTTCACATTTTGATTTATAATCCAGCTTCAGTTTATTCTGGTATATGCTGTGCTATATGAACTCAATTACATTTTTTCCAAAATGGCTACCCACCTATCTCAATGTCATTTATAGAAAAGTTCATTTTACCCTGATTTAATGACACTTGCTATGGACTAAATGTGTT